TGTGATCAGACTATAACACTGAAGGATTAAATTTCAGTTATTTTTTACTTGATAGTGTGATCTTTTGCGAGCACTATAGTATAATTATGTAAAATGTAGAAACTTTCATTTGAGCTGATTTCATTCAGATGAATTTATAATCTGATAGAGTCAACTTATAAAACAAATCTCAAAGACAAAGCAATTTTTCGCTATATTCTAAATTTTAGTTTCATAGTGTTAGAGAATCGTGAGTGCAACAGTCTTCTAGTGTTTAAGAAAAGTCGTCATAGATATGATAATAAAAGATACAAGTGCAATATCAAAAAGCACTTAATATTTACAAAGCACACTACTAATTCTATTTTATTTACTAATCGATAAAAACCATTTACTCAATCTTACTAACTGGTTCTTTACACTAGCGACATCAATAAGGCGCCTGAAACCAAATTAATGAAAAAATCAATTAAAATACGAGAATATTTATAATTTACCTTTCACCTTGTGCTTCAATACGATACAATCATACAGAAAGAACGAACAAAAAAAATTATAAATCCGAACTCCCAGATTTGAACTGGGGACCTATAGGTTACTACGATTCATACACCATTACAGCCTACCGCTCTGCCAGCTGAGCTAAGTTCGGATGTTGACATAGAATAAAATAACAAACAAAACTCCGAATTTAAGATATATCTACTATTTAAACGTGACTCAATGTCATTTTGTCTTATGTTGCTATAATTTTTTCGAACCATCTAATTTTCGATTCGTTTCATTGTGGAAGACGTTTGGTGAAATTTTTGAATTTCTTAAAATTATTAATTTCTAAATTACAAAAATTGTTGATATGATTTTTGTTAGATAGTTTTTGGTTTTTGTCCACTGAAAATTTTTTCCTATATCTTGTATAATTTCTACAAAAGCTTCGGCTTGTCTTGCCAAAATGAATTTCAGACATATTGAAATGTTCATTATACAAATATATGGATCAATTTCAGTGGCTTTTAACTTTTTATTTCTATTGTTTTGAAAAAAACAGAGTGTATGAATTATCAGAAAATTGTATCAGAGTCCTGTTATAGTTCAAAAATTTCTTTAGAATAGAAAGAAACAAAATTAATTTGAAAGATTGCATCCTAAACTGACTTCGTTGTATTCTTAAGATTTCATGTTAAAAATAATAGTTCATTAAACTAGTATTTAGAATCTAATCCAATAGATTAAATAGATATATTCTATGTATATTTCATTATTATACAGTCAATAATAGCACTCCAACATTAATAAAACATGAGTGGTTTTTTAAAAATGCTACATTCAACTTTGGGCAGTTGTTAAGTGCTTCACTAGTTGTAAACTTCTCTGTTACAGTAATCACATGTGTATCTCAACTCAAAGCTTTTCAGATAAGATAAACGTCTAACAGTATAACACGAAATTGTTCTGTTTAATTCATATGGCCTAAAGACACATTCAGTTCAATGAGATTGAAATTAGCAATGTACAATGTCAGTAAACTGTTCACCAAAAATTCACGCTGACGTTCACTGGCACACTACTGGTAAGTCACTGTCAATATTTCAATATTTTCATCGATACTGCAATATCAAATTGGAGTAGTCAATAATCAAGGATGTTTGCAAATTTATTTAGTTGAATTCGTCGTTTCTTTAATCGTTCCGTCATATTTAGTGTCATCAAATATTCGAGTGATGGAAATGCTTCAGAGATTCGTGGAATGAAATCATGTTCAAATGAACGAAAAATCTCACTCAAACAAAATTCGAGCATTCATGAATAATCTAGTAAAGAAATTGTTAATAACATTATGTATATGCTTCATACCGAACAGATGTGAGTAAACATAACGTTGATTTATTTTTCGAGTCTTGCGAAACAAGCTCGAATCCTAAAAAAATTCATTTGTGCCAAAATTTTTCTTGGATGAGGTAGACAGGATTCAGAACGATATGGAAAAAACCACTGTTTCGAATTTTGTAATCCTTATATATCAAAACGTATCGTACGCTTTAATGTTTTGATTTTCAACAAATATCTTAATATTCGAATAAATAATACAAAAAAAAACTCACTACACGAGTTTGAAAAATATCAGAACGCACTCCTATGCAATATTTCCTATTTCGAAATATTGGACTTCCGGAGAGAAAATCATGATGAAATTCAATCGGATTAAACTATCTTGGTTCAGCTGACCAATTGAGAGATAATGAATCAATACGAACTATTGCTATATAAGAAAACTATTACATATAGCATCTGAAATATCAATGGTCTTCTTCAGATTAAGTAGTACATGACCATGTAAAGAAGCTCTCAGCTGCTAATTATCGTTTTCCGCATTTTTATAGTCCCTAAACGGTTTTCAGATGTGCACTCATCACATTCTCGAAGTCTCGATAAAGCTTTTCTCATTTCGAATGATGTTTAGGTATGGAGAACGAGGAGTAAATCATTCGATGTTATGTTGAATTCGAGATATTATGTCAAAATAAACCGATCTAGTATTTAATCAATTTGTGAGTTATTTTCTTGTTGGTATTTTAATTGATAATAACGACAAAGACATATATATACTGCATGACTCTGTGTCTTTCTTTATCTTGATCTTGACAGAGTTCTGCACTTCGTACTGATGATAATTAGTGCTATTATATAGTAACTTTCATTAATATAAAAAGAACATGCTGAACAACTAGAAAGAATCACGAAAAATGGCTAATGAGTGCAATTAACTTCATCATAACAAACTAATTTGAAAGACAATTAAATATGAACAAAATGGTGAAATGCTTTGATCAAAATCTGAGAAAAACGTACGACAAATCTGATAACTTTATCATTGATTTAATTCACAGCTATCAAATCAATAGATTATCACTTTACAAATAATTCATTAAAAAAATAATCGAATATCTTTGATGTGTTACTTTTTAAATACATTTTATCCTATACAACATATCTTCAAAAACGTTCGTTTTCGTAGATTATAAAATTTATCTCTTTACATTCAAAGTCTTCTATGACATTTATATGACATCATAAATAATACCACATTAATGAACTATCTTGGAATTTTCCCACTTTATTGACTAGATAAAAATATTAAAGAAGAACTGTCTGCAGTTATATGATTGTGATATAGAAATAGAATTGTGCTAATTTTTCTCAAAATATCGACAATACAGATTGAGTTTGTTTTCTGAATCCTACTTCACAATAGAACATCTCTTGAAGGAACAACGGACAAAATGTAATAGAAGACTCGAGCGAGGAGCTAGCAGACTTCAAGACTGAAGTTCCTGTTGTTCTCTCCCAGACAAGAGCTCACTTAATTAATTGATTTTTTTGAAATACTGGAACTTTAATTAGAATATTTACATTGAAATATGTCTATTTTCTACAATTTTGAGCTTCTGAAACCCTGCAACTCATGTGTTACATCTGAAACATTCCATTGTTTTTACGAAAAATTTTTTTAATTAAAAATCATCTATTTTGAGGAGAGGCTTAGTTTGATTCCAAGTATCTGGTTATGAAAAGTTTGTTGTTTTCTATAACTTATCGATCAGTGAGATGAAAATTACAGTTCTATTCTGCAAATAGTACACTGTCAGTTGTCAATAATTGTACATGTTATTCATTTCCAACTTGATTAGTTATGTTATCATTTATATTATAAATATTTTTCATAGAAAAATGAATAAAAACAATTATCTCTCGTTAGAAATTAATAAATTTCTAGAACGTAAAATCTGATCCTAATCAATTATGGTTACCATGTGTCGAAAAATATGATCGTAACGAGCTTGAAAATATAGTGATATACTCACACTTTCTTATCTTGTTGAATAAAAATGATTCTGAATATTATATCAAGAGGATATTTTCCGATGTTTCATTCTGTTTGAAAAACATGCTAGAAAAAGTGTATGTTATAAATCATCATTTTTGTCATCACGGAGATTTTGTAATTGATTATGACACTGTTGAAAAAAATAGCAGCAGCGTTATTCCAAACCAAAGCTCAAAAAAATTATCACAATCAATTAGAACTGGTTATTAGCTATACGCTTCTTATTCGAAAACGAAGTTTTAACTTCTATTAGACAGTCAAATATGACCAAGATTGACACATAAAAATTATAAAAAGTTGTATAATACTTGTTTGGAAAAGAAGCACAAAATACAGTTAGCTATGAATAATAAAGAATTACTGTCGATGTATCTAGTAAAATATATTTTGACAAGTGACTGCAGGATAATTACTTTAACCTATATTATTATTTTCGAAGATTTATTCTATTTCAATAGGATTATAATCTAGTCGTAACAAATATTTAATTTTAAATAACAATAAATATTTTTCTTCTTTTAATTTTGTTTTAAATGTAAAAAATGTTTGAAAAGGCTTTGTTAAATTATTTTAAATCAAGATAAACACTTCAACCTTCAAAAATTGAGAAATAATAAACAAATGAAATATAAATATTCAAAAACGAAGAAAATAATTATCGATTTCAAGCCTATTCTTGAAATTTTGATGATAGTACATATAAATTTATTGTGAGTAATGTGATAACTCATTTCAAGAATTATGAACAAATTTTTATTCTTAAGTTCATGAGTAACATCGCTTATATGACATAATTATCACTGTTACAATCATAGAATAAGAATATCTTATTGGAAATAGAAGTATTGAAGAATACTTGATGAAAAAAAAACAATTATTTTCCAAGAAAAACATTGAATCGAAAAGAATCTATTATTAATGGTGATTGTGAAAATTTATTGTTGATCATTGTTAAATAAATATCATTAGTTTAGTTTATTGTATACCTTCCGTTCAAATCTTCAAATTTCTCAATATGAAAGATAAACATATGAAGAAAAATAGATTCTCTTTTGTTAATTTATATTAAAATCGAAAATAAACGAAAAGATTTAGATTTTATTAATATATAATTCTTTTATGTTACAAATATATCTTAAAATAGATATTTATTTTCGGTCAGTTTTTTCTTTCTTAATTTACAAAATTTTAATAAAAAATTTTCGTGCCTTATAATCCATTTCACTATTGGAATAAACGTCAATTTAAAAAGAAGAAAAGCTAATGCAAAGATACCAATAACAGTCGTTGTGAAAAGTATATTATGAAAAATAACTTCACCGCTTCGTGCAATTGGTTGTTGTTTATTAATGACATAAAATTCTGTTTCACTAAAAGTAATTGTCAGTGTATGTTGTGTAGATAAATAACGAAGAAATTGACCTCGTTGTAAATAAGCAACATGATCATTAAGTGATCCATGAGTTGATGTTGGAATCCATATACCACTATAATTAGTTGAATCACTATAATGTAAGGATTCTGTTCGGTTAATGACTTTTGTAAGGGCAAAATAGATTTCAGTTGTTTGGCCAATAGTTTGATTGGATGTATAAAACGATTGGCAATAGTCTAACTTTTGAAGAACATATGCTGAATCATTCCTTGAAGAAAGAGGACCCGTAAGACATATGACAATACCACCAATATAACACGATCCTATATACAAAAACTAGCATTCTATTTACCTGAAGTATGATTTACCTGTCAAGTTTATTTGTATAATCATTTGATGATAAGGCACACGATATACTACAGTGACTGTAGCATTATCTGGTTGCATAGTGCAATTGGTACGCGGTAATGAGACAGAATAAGTGCCAATATTTTCCTTAACAAAGAAAACACTTTGAAAAATATATTCCTGTATTTAACCATTGTATTAGTTTAGGCTGTTGATAGTCATTCATAGATTAAAAAAAAATATTTTGATTTATTCTAAGAAGTTCATATTTCGAAGAAGATGAAAGACAAATGAAAAAAAAAACAAAAACTTTTGATTACTAAACTTTTAGTGATCAATCATATATTAATGATGATCAAGAAATTCTCCTTTATTTACCTGCTCAGTAACATCATTACAGGTAAAACCTGTCTGCACAAAATTGATAGTCATAGTAAAGTCTTGCTTATCAAGCATATCAAATATAGGTGCTTCTTCATCCGATTTAATTGTAACTGCTAATTGTAGTGCTGAACTATATTGAATATTTCTTAATGATGTATCACATGCAAAATAAGCATCATTTGATGTTTCTATTGGATATTGTATAACAAAAACTGTACCAAACCAAAAACTATAGACGACAAGAACAATAATAGAAAATGACACAAGTCCACCAAACCATAATTCTCCATTTCCAATAAGATCAGAATGACGAAATACACATTCAAGACGTTTAAAATGTTTCTTGCCTGTTGGAGAACAATATAAAATTGCCATGATAAGTAAAACAATAAAAGCAAGACATAATGTAATCAAAGCCCAAAAAAATGGTGATATGAGAAGACATCGATGAGAATCAGTTTGTAGATTAAATGTATTTTGTATGAGAATATCATCAAGTGATGAACTTGAAGATGAGGGATAAGCATATGCTTGACTGATCGATTGAATAGCTGATTTATTAACATCAACAACGGAAGCGAGCGGACAAAAAGAATCTGACAAACAAGCAGTACAATTAATAGTCAAATACATGACATTCGTGTCATTTGATGAATTAGATGTTACACCTGTAAGATATCAATAAATGATGAAATTTTAGGAAGTCCAAAACATTTCTTACTAATAGAAGAACTCTTTGTCATTGTCGGACATATCATACATGGTGTTGGACCTCGAATACTTTTATAAGTTCCACGTGGGCATTGGACTAGCCGTTGTGACGGAGAATTAATATCATCTGTTTTTATATAGTAACCTGCATCAGCTGAAGAAACTAATACTACAATTCCATCTTCTGTAAGTATAACTAATTGATTAGCGTATGTTTTTGTTAAACGAATAAATGTTGGAGGTGTACTTGACCATTGTTCTAAGGTTTGTTGATTATTGGGATAAACATATAATATATTATAAGAAGATATATCTACTACTTGTATTCGAGATTGTGCCCAAGGAAGTGTAGCTTCATTACTAAGAAGTAAACCAGCTTGTATACCATTATCATCAAGCCAACTTGTTGAACGTGCTGTGTAATTCAATGTATTAATCAATGTTAAATTTGTACTATTAAATGAAAAAAGATATGTTTTACTTAATTGTGGAACACCAACAAGAACTTGTTGAGTTGAATCATGTATGGAAACAGACATAACATAACCAAATTGATAACTAGAAGCATAACGTCCACGAACAAATTTTTGATTATCGGAATACAAAGTATAATTATCAACAAGAGTCATATTATACGGAGGATTTAAACGAACAAGATAAATAGCTGGTAAGGTTTTTTCAATATCAATTTCATAATAACCAGCAATAATTGCCATTGAGAAACTATCATTTGTTTCAGTTACATCTAATCCATGAGGATAAATACTTATCGATGGAAATATATCATTCCATGAAAAATTTTTTACATACTGATTTTTAATATCATAAATAAAAATATTTTGTGAAAGAAAACCATACGCATATTTTCCATAAGGATCAACTTGTAATGTTGATAAATCAGATACATTACCTTTCCATACTTGCACATCATGTTCACCTTCATTCATATTTAATATAGAAGTGCATGAGTTATTGCGTGAAGCAATTTTTGTTTCACGTGAAAATGTGAATAAACCTAATTTTTGATATTGTCCATCTGTTGTATTTGTTCGTAAATAGACAAAAGATAATTGTGAAGAATTTTGTCGTCGACCAGCAGCTATACTAATAACAAAATCATCTGATGTATGATAATTATAATTGCATATATATTCAGTTCCAAAAGGAGCCATTGAAATTGTATAACGAAAACCATCATTTTGAGCAAGAACAACAAAATCATTTGTACTAGCTATACGAATTCCATATGCATCATAATCATGCCTATCTGAATACGTTACTGCATTGATAGTTAAAGAAAAAATTGTCAAATAAAAGATAATTAGGACATTCAATATAATTAACTTTGAAAGCATATTTTCTTTTTTTCACCAAACCTGTACAGCTTCATAAAACATGCATTAATGTTGAGCTGCTACCAATTATCTCGAATCATGCTATTCATGCACCTTACTGTTGATGGATTTATATACACAGAGAGCGAAAAAAAAAAAATTTTTCGCATTGGTCATGTTAATTGTTTATGCACATGAAATAGTAACAGCGCAAATACTTACATATTACTCAGTAACACTGAATAAAATTATTATTTCGAAAGCACAAAAAGAACATGCAAAAGCAATATTAAACAAATATGATTTAAGAGAATTTTTTTTCAAGTAACAATTTTTTTTGGTTATGTTATTGAATTCGACAGAATTATAAATTTTATTACGTCAACAATTAATTAATCTTCAGATGAAAATTTTATCTAAATTTTTTTTTGCATGCAATATTAAATTCAGTGCAAATAAAGTATAATTCACATATTTTACTTCATTTAGCTTTTTCTTAATGAATCATTTTATATTAAAAATAAGTAGAGTTCGAAAATAAATATGAATACCCACAAATGTAATATGTACTCTTACTATGCTAATAAGCAAAGTGTTGTTTTCGGTTAAATCACGTCCCAATCCTTGATATGCTTTTTATCTTTATTATTATTTATTTGTAATTATGATTGATAGCAAAAAAAATTTACTTGAATATTTCTAAAATCAAATTTTGCATTGTTTCTTTTTTGTTTTGTTGTTGTTGACATTTTTTATCTGTATGACAACATATTTAAGATTTCCATTATTTAAATGTATTTCATTCAAAAGTATGATCTACTTTCATCCATCTGAATATGCCTTTTTTTTTTGTATTTCTGTGCACGTCGATCACCTTTGAATGAAGGAAAAAAGAAAATGGCATAATTGAGTTTTGAATTCTTTGTTTTTTTCTTCTTTTTTAATATAAAGAGTTCACGTTAAAGAGTATTCTATTTCTCTATATTTATTTTTACATGTTATTATCGAAATTTATTCTTTTCTTCAACATTCAAAACAAAAAAAATAAAATAAAATAAAAATGAGCCAAATTAACTCTATCTAAAATCTATATCAGTTTTTTTTGTATATGAATTCATTTTTGATGAACATGATGTTTTTCACGAGCCCATCGTCGAAAATACCAAACAATAACAATATCCCATAGAATAAGAGAAATCATTGAACCAGCACAAAATATTAAATCTGGCTTAGTTCTTTCATTAATTATTTTTTGATTTTTTTCATAATCCCAATAAACACCATGCATTTGACATACAGTTATAAAATAAATGCATAAATGAAATAAATGATGACCTTGACCAATAAAATCAAAAGTACCGGGCCAAAAGCGTTGTGGTAAATCAAAAGCAAATAAGGTTGCACCAATGAGAAATAATATAATTTGTCCTAAATGACACATTGAACATGAATCTAATGGAAAATTTAATGGAAATAAACCAACAATTAATGGAGCAACAGAATAAACCCATAAAATTCCACATGGTAAAAATTGACAAACACGTTTTAATGGTGGATAGGGTGCACGAAAATAATATTGAGCAAAACAATTTGAAAAACAAGCAAGAATACCAAATAAAAGAAGTATAAACATATATTGATATTCAATTTTATCATAATACCATTGTGGTGCTGAATAATATATATGAAGAAATCCTGAACCAAAACCATGTAAACTAACACCAACATAATCAATTGCAAAACAAGTTCTATGAACTGTTTCAGATTTTGAATGAAGTAAATGTGCAAATGCTGAACACATAAACATGATTATAGCCGTACATAATGATACAATAAATGGCCATGAATGAGAATTTTCGTAAAATTGTAATCGTTGATTATAATAATATAATAAATATCCCATATATAATATACCTATTAAATGACTCCAAACATTAATTGTTTCATTATGTTTATGAAATAATGATTTCCAATAATAAGACCATGGTTGATGAAGTGAACGATAACCATGTATTATAAATCGTTCAACTAATATGGGTGGAACATTTTTGAATGTCGCTGGATAACGTGACATACTTTGAAGTGAAATAAAAGTTGATCGTGCACGAAGATGAAGACGTTGAAATCGAGCACGAATATCATGTTCGAAAGAAAACGATAAAGTTGGAAAATAATAAGCAAAACGTGTTGTATCCAACATTATTTAATTCTGTTTAACAAAAAAAAAAAAATAAAATAAATATCTATTCTCATTATATATTCTTAAATAATGAATTATATTATAAAAGAAAAGACAATAAATATGAGAGAAATATAAAAACTTAATGTGTTTTTTTTCTCCTGGCATTCAAATGATAGTACTTCCTTTATAACTTTTACTTTATATAATAAAACTATGATACATTTTCTATATCAATGAAAATTTATGATCATAAAATAATTAGCATTGTTGTTATATAGATTCAAGTATAGTGAAATGACAACTGTTTAAATATATATCTATATAAGTTCTGCTTATTTTTCTCTTTTTCCTTTTATATTATTCTATATTTTTAAAAGCGCGCTTTTGTAACAGCTGCTTGTCTATGCGATCGTTTTATCGTTGTAGTACCCTTTTGACTCAAATGTCATTTGAAAATGATAAGAATGAAAAAAAAACCTGCTTTACTCTGCAAGTACTTTATACATGTATATATATATTATAGTTAGTAATGTAGCATAAAAAGGACAATTAATATATGAAACCATAGAAAATCGTACATAATTTCTAAATAATTTGTGTATGAAAATATACGTACGATTTTTTTGTGTATGTTATTTGTCACTCACTTTTAACATCAACAATAATGAAAATTGTTATAATATCGTTGATCACCAAGGAGAGCAAAGAATCGAACGAGCGAAGGTCTGACAACGTGTTTCGAGTGATAGAAGCGGACGTACGAGTTCACTCTTACATATATACGTGCGCGTTTTCTCGTTCTTTTTTTTCTCTCTTTTTTTTTTTCTTTCTTTGATTTGAATAAAGTAGTAGTCATAATACTAAGTATGTTATTTAATGCAAAACTATAAGTGATCGACTAAATGTTTGAGATTTGTTGCATGACAGGTTTATGTACTTTAGTCGATTGAATATTGGTTTTTGGACTTAAAAAAAAATTGTAATTCTCCTAATATTTTTTCTATATCAAAATAAAATGAAGATTATTTTTTTTTGTATGATATTTGTTCTAGAGTATTCTTATGAGGTAATGTTTATAAACGATACAGAACATTTTTCTTGTCGAAACATAGATAAATACTGTTTTTTTGCTTCTTGTATTTTCTTCGTATGACGTCAAAGAAAATAAAATAAATAAGCATGTTTTATGATAAGTATGAGAATAAAGTATTTGACCAAGTTGATATGACGCAAGACTTTATATTAAATTTTTGTATACCTGCTATAAAAAGAAACTAATGTCATAATTAGTAATCATTAATTCAATTAAGATAAAGTCACCAGATATTCAAAAATAAATCGAACTTAAAAATTACAATTACTCTGTGCTATTTTGTTTGCTATTCTTAGAAATATTTAATTCAAAATAATTATTGTAATATCCAAACTGATCATATGAAGGAGCATCCAAGAGATACAGACATCGTCAAAGTCATATCAATGATAGAGTAACATTACAGATTTCGATAATTTTTCTTCTTAATATGTAATATAGATTTGTGATTTTAGTATTCTCTGAAATCTTTAGTTCATTTGATCACTTTTTTCTATACAAAGTATACAAATACGAAAGGAATATTTGGTAATGATTTTTTAACCGATTTCAAGCTGGTGTTCTTGAGAGAAAATGACTTTTTTTATTTCAATTTCTAAGGTACCGTTGGTCGTAGTTTCTCGTTTGCAAATATAAATCGAAATTCAAAAAAAAACCCATTTAACTCAATTTTAATGACTTTTAAAATTTACACTAATTAATAAATAAAAAGACAAAATTTGAAATTTTCTATTTTAATTCCTCAAAAACTTACATCAATTAAAAAAAAACTTATACATCTATATTCAGTTTTACTTTGAACTAACTACAATTTGTAAGGATCTCTAAAAATTATTGTGACAAGAACTCAAATCATCGATCTGCTAACTCATCACAATAAATTATGATGAGAATATTTATGAAACCTCTCCTTGACTTTGATTACATTTTTTCTTAGCTAGTTTCAATTCCATAACAATTGCTCATACATTCTAAGTTTTACAGTAATCAATAATAAAAAATAAATTTCTTGTAGCAAGACTTATTCAAAATATTGAACTCACTTCCAGAAAAATAATTATTAATACAAGCGAAAATAATACTTTTTTTTTAATGACTTAGATTACTTTCGAAAGCAGTATGACAATATGTCTAATATTATCTCATGTAACACTTTATAATTACAATAAAAAAGAAAAATAATTATCATACTCATTCTTTAAAATTATCAGATATAGCTTTGTGTAAATTGTTGCAATTCTTTTTAGATTAAAACATTTTTCTTTTTGATTAAAAAGATTCTAACAGCTGTAGTTAATTTAAATAATTATTGTAAATAATAAGTGATGTAACCTCCATAAGTTATATGAACTTTTCTGAAAACAAAATAATTTTGTAATTAATAGTTTTTCAAAAATTTATTTTTTTATATACGCCTTTATTGATAAATCAACCTACAGATCAAATGTTTTTGTTAATCCTATATAGAGTTCGAAAATTTCATTACAAATGTCTGCATTATCGTTTTGGTCCGTGTTTCGTTATCAAAATGTCTGTAGATTGCGTGTTATATAGTAACAATCAATCGTTCTGATATTTCTATCGATAATAGAGCTCATCAAATTCTACTATCTAGGATGTTTCAGTTTTATTTCGTCTAAAAAAAAATATATCATTTTTCTATCAACCGTCGATTTTTCTCTCATTTATGTTGAATTCTCTATTGAAAAATTTTCTTCATGAGTAAATTCGATACTATTGAATACTGACACTTTTAGATTTGAATGAAATGTCAGTCTTTTAATGACTTAAATCATTTTTGATTAATTTTTCAATAGAAATACTGTGAAAATATTTTAACGATTAACCTATCAATTTTAAAAATATATAAAAGTTGATTTTTTTATATTTATATGTATGAAGCATTTTATATACAGTGCTAATCAAAATCTGTTCCATTCCTGCAGTTTTTCGATAACTCAACCTTTTGGCTTGAGATTTTGACTGTGTGTGTAGATAATAAGAAATGCTGATCATAGACATCTATCTGACATTAATTCAATGTAATAGGACGGAGGTATAGATCAAACACTGTCTTCACCTTGTGTTGCTTATATTTCAACCATATAAGCACTGAAGATTTCGTAGAAACCATCATTCGAACGCATAATTTCACAGCTTTCCCAAATAAAATTTTCATCAGAAAAGTCTTTCAGATTTCTGAGTTATTATTCTTTCAAAATTTCAGTTGTAATGATACTAAATTCGTTACTGTGAAAGCCCCCTCTATGTTTACCTGTTCACTTGAAAATTGTGTTTCAACGTATATACTTATTGATATATCAATGTTTCCCGAAAGTTTTAGGGTTATAGCATGTAGTAGATAGATTGGCAATACAATGATATAATGTTCTCATCAGTGCATGCTTCAACAAGCATTTATATCTCACAAGGAAACATTCTCAAGTGTTAAAGCAATTTCGAGTCAAGACTTTGCGCATCTTGTAGATCTTAATGAATTATGTCTACCATAAAAAGAGTTCGTGTCCATAGCTTGTTTTTGAGAAGATCGAATGTTTTTACTGTTACAGTCATAGGAGTTATCTTATCAAAAAACATTACTGTCAGTCGATATAAATTGAAACGAGCTGCAATATCCATCATGTATAGTTGTACTTATGTGGAAGATAATGGGACAGTATGAGCACAAAAGCACAAAAGAGCTTTAAAAAATAGAGCTGTCAGTTTTAGAAAACGTTAACATTGTTCTATATGTCAATTATTATGCTACTTCTTAGAATTACGAGATATACACTTGAAAATTTTAGAACATTGAGTACTTATGTCGTAAAATATTTTTGAAAGCTTGATAATTATAGGTTACTATGATTATGTAATTATTTTTCTTTAGCTCTGATCTTTGTCACAGTGCTCACATTGTGTGTTAAATATAAACTAATCTTTTTCGTATACAAATAATGAAAGATTTTGAATGAAAATAGAGGAACCAGATGAATGTCAATGAATTAAATGAAAACATACCACAAGTTTAAAAGAGAGAAAAATAGTATATATCTTGTAATATTAATTTAGCTCGTTTCTTAGGAAAATGATTAATGCATCGGTAGTGTCTTATTTTCTCTCAGAAAAGTTTTCTCAATCAGTTTCATCTTCAAACTCTAATCTTTCAACCACAACAATACGTGAACAACAACCCATGTCACAAAAACCGGATCAGCTTTAGCGGTAAATCGGAAAAAAGTAGCGATTCGCCTCGGTTAACCGCGATTTTTCTATGTCAAGGAGCCGGTAACCGAACCGATAAAATCGTGGTTAACCGCCGGTTTTTGCCCGATTTTCATCACATGGGAAGATGCCAATCATATAGTTAAAGTATTAAATTCAATTATTAACTGCCATTGATGTTCTGTAGAGTGTGAAACTTCACTTGATCACATTTCAGATGAAATGATGGAAGATGATATCGATTAATACCTTGGACATGACGATTCTGCATTAGTTCTGAACTTCAACGATACAGGCGAGGATGATGTTGATCTTGTTCTTCAAAATAATTAGAACAACATTAACACTTTTGAAAGACTGATCGTTCTGCTTTTCTAAACTCGTTTGTACTCATATTTTTACATTATCTTTTACATGAGCATAACTATACATAAGGAAAATCTCAGCTCTTTTGAATTTATATCAGTTGAAATAGTGATTGTGTTTTGACAAGATAACTGTTATGGCTGTAACAGAAAAAAAATTTGAATCTTTGAAAAACAAGCTATGAGCACGAAGTCTTTTTATGGTACACATAATCCATTAAGATCTGCAAAAGGCGTGAAGTTCCAGCTAAAAACCGCGCCAATATTTGTAAATATTCCTTCGTAAATAAAAGAATGGTGAAGAAACGTATTTCAAAATACATAAAATAAAGTTATATTATATGATTAGTAACAGCAGCTACATCGCAATTTATAGGTTAATCCTTCATGACTTGTGAAAAAGGTGTTTTAATAATGATTAAATACAGTATGAAAATTTTATTTTCTATTGATCAGTGTAAGAAAAAATTACTTACTGTTTAGCTAATTATTTTATTTTATTTAGAAAGAATATTTAGAATAAATAGTGCTTTATTTTCAAATATAAAATTATTTTTGTACTTATATATTTGCGAAAAAAATTTTGATGTAGCCTTGTTGAAGCTACAGTTTGGACACTATTCATTCAGGTGTTATCAAAGCACAAAATATAAGTGCAGTCAGCCGTGTTAACGAAAGAAAAAAATACCACGTTAAGATACTAAATATAGACGAAAATCTTGTTTTCTTTTTTTTAGTTATCCTGGATTTCAATCCAGACAATAAATATGCAAATAAACCAAGTACTGCACACATCACCGACACAAATGCAATCATAACATATATTTTGCTATGTGTTTAGAACAAACAAAAACTAGATTTAAGAAAAACATTTTTTTTTATTTATATTTAAATAACATGATAAAAAAAAACACATGATAATAATATTCTAAAAAATACGAAACAAAACATATCATATCCAGAACAATTGATAATATTATCTCAATCTCATGAAGAGAAAATGAACAATCATGACGAATTATTTTCAAATGAATAGAAAGAAATTTATATTGAAACGAAAAAGTAAATGAAATGACCTTGATATTAACTAATCTTCTACTGTGTAAAAATCAAAATATAAACTATACAATCATTTTTTTTTCTTTTTGGTCGATATTAGTTCACGTATTCCTTATAATTTGATCAATAGAGATCTTTAATGTTTCTTTCTTTGTTTTCTAATTTGATTATTTACATACAACAGTTGAAACTCAAATGAGATTACTTTTACCTTGTAAAAATACTTTTTAAAAAATGATCTTAGTGCATAAGTTCTACTCCAGTTGTGCGTCAGATCATTTATTCATATAGTAACAAAAAAATTTGATAAGAAACCAATTCTGTTTTCTTTTTGCATTTGTTGTAGTCACGTCGAGTACTTGAAAAAAGAAATCGAAAATTATTAATAAGATTAATCTATGCCAAAGAAAAAGAAAACGTCATTCTTTTTAATAAATTAGCAAATATTCCTAAGAAAAAAAATATATTGAAGAGAATTTTAATTAGGAGATTTTTTTGAAAAAAAAAAAATTTGTGTGGTTTTATTTTTATTCAAAATAGAATGACGTTTGAAATTAAATATGCAAAAGTATTCTGTCTAATATTCTTCTCACGATTCTGCCTTGTATAATAAGTCTTCTTTTCTCTGTCTTTCTTTCTCTTTTTGCTTTTTTTTTGTGTACAGAATCAATGGTAATTATGTGTCGCATTATATTCAAGTTGATTTTAAATAAGAAAACACAAGCATACTTTTTTTCACTGTTATTTTGTGTTTGCTTCTCATTTTCGTTCTCTAGTAGGTGGTGATGTGAAAACATTAAAGCACATTGACATTTATATCCATATATATATATGTATGTATGTATATATATGAAAGAGTACGAGCGTTGAAAAAGTTTTATTTATATACTTTGATTTTAAATTAACGGCAGAGAAACAAATGTAAGTAGTTGATTGAATAAAATAAATTTTATTTTTATATCATTAAGTATTCATTTTGTTGAGATAGAAGAAAAAAGAAAGAAACATGTTACTGCATAGTAGAATGGCTTCAATTCCCAGTTCATCTCGTCATACAGTATCTTTTATGGATGATATTAAAGATGTATTGAAAAATCAAGCTCGAGATTCTCTTATTAATTTCACATCACAATCATCAACAACATCTTTGCAATATTCTAATATGCGTGTTACTCAACGTCTTCATCGTTATCGATTCATGAAAAAACAATGGCAAGAAGTAGCAACATCTATTGGAAATACTTCTCCCATATCTCCAATATGTGAATCTTCAACATCTATTCAAGATATATCAGCAACATCACAAGACACAATGAAAAATTTACCTGTCATAATACAAAAGCAAAATGTTGAATCAAACGGTTATCGTATTAATGATTATGTTGCTGTTGGAACAACAGCTGCAAAAGATAATAATGACAAGAATTTTGTTGATCTTAATCCATTACATATAAGAATTCAACAAGATTTGATTAAACTAAGAAAATTAATTAAAACAAAGCAAAGTAAATTTATTGCTAATACTTCTCTAAAAATACGCACAAGTAATAGAACATTACAAGAGCCAGTAAGTTAAATGAATACAAATGATTTACTAATACTGCGCAACATTTTGAAACAGATAACACGTTTGGTTTTAAATAATAATACGTCTTACACTAACATAATGGATATTTTTAGTTTGATCAATTTGTTAAGAGTTCGGTTCAATGAAAAAAAAACGATTAATTAATGAGAGAAGGAAAACTACTCCCGTCTTTCGACTATCTTGCAGTATGAGGTGCTGTCTAGTGGCAGATTCAGTAGTTTGATATATTCTCTATAATTTATACTAGTTGTAGCTTTAGACAGAAAGTTGGCCTGATACAGAATTCTTGCACTCATTTACTTGAGCTCTCCATACATAGCATCCAGTTATAAGAACAAGTGTATGTTGCATCATAGTCAATATGCTATTGGACAAATGATCCAAGATGAACAACTATTAGTGGGTTGTCTACGATCATTTGAGATTTGAACATAGTTCCTAGTGGATATTTGTCGAACAATGCAACCACTTCATCGTAGTGGGGTAGTTAATTAATAGCCTTGAAAATAAATTAGATTCGATAGACTTCATATTTCACATGTGTTTATGTGTTATTCGTCTAAGATACTTATTGAAATACATCAATAATGTGTTTTTTCTTTGTTTTATCTTGAATTAAGAACCATCAAAATTTTGAACAGTTTTTAACTATAAAAATCTCTAAACAGCTTAACTATATCAAAAATAAATTGAGTTTTTACTGATAAATTGTTTGAAGAAGATACTTCAAAATGTTATCTTGCACAAAAATGAAGTATCTGTATTGTATATAGAATCAATAGTAAATGAAAAAAAACAAATCATATATGTATGGTCATCATATAGAAAATATCAAAATGTAATTTTGAAAATAAAAGTTTCATTTTGTAACAATACTAATGAAATTATTATTTCTTCAACATCTAAATAGTACGTACAACAAGTATCATCTATTGAATTTAATTGATTTTCACGAATTTTTATTGATTATTTTTTTTATTGAATTGAGTTTCAAAAAAACTGTGTCCTGTTGATAACATTGTTCTCTTCACTGTAGATAATTTTTAAATACTCTATCTGATATTTTTTGTTTCTATCAATCATTGTAACAAAACATAATTGTTTCCTTTTATATTAGAACTTTCATACAAAAATAGAAAATCTTGCATACTAGTGGTTGCCATTGAGTTTTGGTATATGTTACAGACTTGAATATCAAATCCTCTTCTTTCTCTCTCTGTCTCTTGTTTGACTCAAACTTTTAAATATCAATCAATATTTCAAACTATATTTATAGATTGCGAAATCATTCTTTAAATGCATCGAAAATCTTAAATTTGAGTAAAATGTGCGAGCGTTTGTTTATATCTCTCGTCACAATTCATGTTACTATTTTAAGTAACTGCACTGAATAAGAAAAAAAAATCAATCAAAAACGGCATTTGATAATGTAAAACGACGGCAATGTCTATATTATAATCACTGTTTTCAATCAAATTTTGATTCATTCATTATTTCTTTTGATGATAGACATCGAACGGTACGGCAGTTGGTGATCAAGAAAATAATAACATGGTAACCATTAGAAAATCATCATCATTGAAAAAACTCAAACCCCTTGATCGTGTTAAAATATCCGGGTGTAAAATGTCTCAATTAACACTCCAAAAAAATGATTCAAATGATAGTGGACTTACTAGTACAAGTAATTCATCAAGTACCTGTTCACAATATTCAAAACAACAACAACAACAACAACAACAAAAGCAACAATCAAAAAAAACAAAACGACAAAAAAGTAATAAGACATTTAATATTGACTGTAGTCGACCGAATCCTCCTCCTCCTCTTCTTTCTGATTCTCCTATTTATCGTACATCTCATCAATCAAACAGAAAGTCAAGCTCATCATCTAGAAAGACTTCAAATATATTCTCGAAACAATCTTTACTTTCTCCTCTATCAATATCAGTACCACACATACCATCTGTAAGCGAGAAAACTCAATCTAGCTTTACTAAACAAGAAACTCTATTACCAGCTATTCGACGATTATCTAATAGTGAAGAAATAGCAACAAATTGTTATACCTATGCAGCATCAAGTTCATCAGCAACTCCACATTCAATGATAATCAAACGAAATGCATCACTTTTACCAATTCTTCTACAATCAACTCCTTGTATAGGAATTCAAACACGAAATAGTCGTCCAAAAAAATCTAAACATGATTTAGAAGAGAAGCAGGAGAAAAATAATGATGATGATAGTTATTATTATTTACTTGATTATAAAAATTTAATAAATAATTTACCGAAACCTGTTATATGTATTCGGCCCCGTTATGGACAAGATGATTATGGAATTTTATTTGAACAATTAGATCATATTCGAGAAAGAATGCCTGATACAAATATTTATGATGAATATGCGAGAATTGTTTAATTATTTTGTTTTTATTCAATATCTTTTCATGTTCATTTACATGAGAAAAGACAGACATTTTATTTTTCTTTACTTTCGATTAACAATAAAAAAAAACAAACGATCTAATGTTTTTATTTTTATTGCTTCTGTAAATCATGTTGGATTTTCACATAGGGTTTCATAATCATTCAAAATTTTTTATTTAAAATTTAAGAATATCGACTCTACTGAGTACACACAGACGAGTATAGGTCGTGGCTCTTCAGGAAGTGTTTCACTTTTCCACACCGCAGTGCAAATATAATGAGTTAGTTATGCGAATAATGTTTTTTTTCAGATTCTTGAGTGATTGAATTTAGCTTTCAAGCTTGACATGTGTCACAGATTTGAAAGTATGAAAAAAGAAAATGTCATAACTAAACTATAATCTTATTTGAGATTTACTCGTATTTTGTATTTTGCTTAGAAAACACTTCTTATTTTTCTATCAATGGCTATAGAAGAAATGATAAAGCGATTTATATGATTTAATTGATATTATCATAAACAAGAGTTCATTCAAAAACTTGAAGTAGAAAAATTGGATATCAAAATTTTCACTTCGAAAATTATTTATATTTGTAAAAAAGAATTAAAGAATAATTTCATTTTTGACATTCACAAATGTAGGCATGCAATTGTTTCATATAAGCACGTGACGTTTAACAATTATATTGAAAAAAAAAACACAAACAAACATTAAAAAATAATTTTGTTCTTGTTTCAGATATATATATATTCATAAAATAAAATTTCTAATCAATGTTTTTCAATAAAATTCACAAGACATAATGAAAGTTGATAATTTTGAAATACTATTTTTCTTTGTCGAATAAATCGAGCACATAAACATTTTAATCGGCCAACACCTATTTTCTTTCGAAGATGTTCTTTCACATGAATATTCGATGCTGCTTCAAGAGGTGTTCGACCTTGATCATTAACACAATCTGGATGTGCACCACCACTATCACACAAAAGATTAATAATAAATAATACATTTTCAATATCATGTTTACGTTGAGCAATTAAATGTAATGGAGTATTTCTTTCTGAATCAATTGCATCAACATTAGCACCATATTGAAGTAATAGACCAATTGTTTTATGACATGGATATCTAGATTTAAACGAAAAACAAAATTAATTTTGTTTAGAAATTGATAAAGATTAAAAAAAAGACGAAGAAAATTATAAGACTTACTTGCACAATGCCATAATACGATTATCATTTACACATGGTAATCCTGTCATCATACTTAAATGAAGTAGAGTCCAATATTGTGAATTTTCAATAGTTTTACAACGAGTTCGAATAAACATAACTAATATTCGATAAATATCCATCATCGAAGGTGAGAATTTTTGTTTTTCAGATACCTATGATGAAACATATTGTACATAAAATTTTACAATAAATATAAAATTAAAAAAAAAAACAAATAATTTTAACAATAAAAAACTTTCAAATTTGAACATGAAATAACATACATGACTAATGATTGTAATAAGATAGAAAAGTGTAAATAAATTATGATCATTATTACGACCATTTGAAAGTTCATCATTGAGTGCTTTTAAAACTTCTAGTATAGCTTTTTCAGGTATAATATCTACATCATTTATCATCATGTCAGCAAACATATGAACAAATCCTCGTAAATGCCATTTATCAAAACTAATTTCATATTGTCGTCGTAAATCAAGTTCATATAACCAAAATCGAAGTGCTACATCATATTGATGTGTATCAGCTAATAAAGCACCATAAAATCGAATAGCATGACGATATCGTTTATTTTTTTGACCTAATATTCTTTCTTGTATAAGTAATGATTCAATATGTAATCGATTATGTGTTTCAGATAAAATTTGATTAAATTCTTCTAATGTTTGACATTCTTGAAAATAATTATATGCTTCAATAAGTTGTATAGATAAAAACTTTTTTGGAAGATTTTTTTCTATTCTCAATTTATATGCTTGTCTTATATGTTCAATAGCTTTATCAAGATTATAATTTTTTGATTCAATATTTGCATATGATGCTCCAAGTATTTCTCTTGCTTCAATCCATTCTAAATCTGACGAACAATAATTTTCAAAAGCATTCACTAAATCTTCTCTTGCTTCTAATGCAGCCCATATAAGTGGACTTGTTGCATTAGGAGACATATTTTTTGCTCCACATTTTAATAATAATTGAATAACATCAAGTGAACCACCATCAATACCATAATGTAATGGTGTTCGACCATCTTGATCATATTCATTTGGATTACAACCTAATTCATCAAGAAAATATTTTACCATATGTGTATGTTCACGATAAGAACTTAACATTAAATTTGTATAATTTCCATCTCGTACAAGTCGCATATCAGCACCCTGTGCAATTAGATAACGTGCAATATCAAGATTACCAATATAAGAAGCAGCACGAAGTGGTGAACTACGTGTAATAGATAAATGATTTACATTTGCATTACCTTCTTCAACTAATAATTTCACAATACCAAAATGACCAACAGCTACAGCAACCCATAATGATGATACACCATACATTATATCATGAACAAAATCAAGTTTAACATCACCTACTGCATTTACATCAGGTTTAAAACGACGTAACAACATACGCACTATATTTTCATGTTTATAAAAACATGCAGCAATTAATAAAGTCCATCGAGAACGTCCATATTCATATTGTTGATTTATATTCACAATAGGATGTTGATTTAGATATGTTTCAAGTGAAAAAACACGACCCTGACGAGTAGCTCGATGTATAAGTTCATTTTTTTCCGCTCGCGAATAATCGAATAACATTTCACCATGACCATTACCGTTACAAGCTTGCATGTCTATAATCTTGCCTTCATTGAAAATTTCACTTGGTTGTTGTGCAAACACTTCCACATGATTCAGGACAGAACAGAACAAAACAAAAACAGAATAAGAAATAATAAAACACGACGAAGGTAGATGTAGACAAACTAAAATAAAGTTTTAACAAATATGTAAATTATGGATTCGCTCATAAATAAATAAATATTTCAATTAAATATCTTTTTCGATTTGGAATATAACATCACTCTTTACAACATAGATAGATTTCAATAAAATTAATACGATTGATTTAATAGAAAAATTTTTCTTTGTTTTAAGTGTTTTCATTCATATCACGTTTCCATTAAATACGTTTGAGAGTAGCTTTAGATAACTATTCAACAGATATACTTATATTAACACGATTATCGTTATGACCATACAAAGAAGATTATATGAAATTTAACTTTCAGAGTTTGTTAACTCATCATATGTATTTTTGAAACGAATTATTTCATCAACAAAATCAGTGCTGGTTCGAGTCAGTCAACATTGGGAAGAAGAGTGGAGGAGGTGTCACGATTTTTTCGAAAGGATGTAAACATTTTTTTTTTCTGAGAGAACGCAAGAAAAATTTTCGAATCTACTTGAAAAAAAATAAAAGTTTTTCATTTTTATTTTCCTCAAGCTTTCCAACTAATTTCTGAAAACCAAACATAAAACCTGACTCTTTCTAGCTATGTGCTTCGTAAGTTCGATAAATGAAAACTGTTGTGTTTATTTTGTGTTCTTCTCCTTTCATTTCTGATGTGTATAAAAGTATCCATTAGTCAGCACAATGATTTAGAATTGTCATTCGAAAATAAGATGAGTAACACAAATACTATTTTACCAACAACTAACTGGTAACAACATTCGATAATCATAGTTACTTTATCTACAAAGATTAGCCATTAAGCAAACAGTCAATAGACATGCGCAAACGATACATGTTGGATAAGGAAGAAAACGAAAAATACTAACAGAAAAAAAAAGAGTAAAAGTGGTAAAAAAGTAAAAAAATACAGAATCTCGAGGATACGATTGTGTATGATATGCAATAATGATTTTATAAGAATTTGTTTTTTTGAATGAAAGACCGAATCACTTAATCGATATCGTCAATAAAAATAGAAATACTAATGAATCAATTTAATGTAAAAATTGCTCTTATTACTCACGCTTCTGAAAGTATATTGGTTTCGTCACTGCTACGCCGCTTCTCATCGCAAGAGTAACACATGCTTCGTTACTGAGAGATGTCAGGAAGTGTTCGTTGTAGCTGTAAAATAACTTGATAATAAAAACATAACTGCGACACAAAGTGATGCATCCAGCATGACTGATCTTAACAAATTGTGCAATCTTATACAAAAAGAAACAGGTCATTTACATAATCGTCTTACCAATCCAAGAATATTCGATACAGTATTTTTGACATATACATGGTGCGTTCAAAAAGTTTCGGGACTGATTTTATTTAAAAATAATAACAAGTGCTGCTATATTTATATTATTGTCTGTGCGTAGTTCATACAGTCCTCTATCTATAGACATCATAAGCTCAGTTGAATTAAACATATATATGAAAATATAGAAATGCATTTTAGACCACTGCATATACACTGACGGAAAGTTAAAAACTTGAGTAAAGTTTTATGTTTTGAAAGGCTAGTTGCCATTCAGTATTTATGACTATATGGTAACAGTTTGCAGTAATAATGCTCTGTCACATACTGCGATATTTGAATAGACTCGTCGTTCTAAGGGCTAATAAGAATGATTCTAGATATGGTCGACTCATCGTTGACATCATGTTAGAGTATGTGGTATTTTCGTAAACTGACTTTAGTCGTATATAATTGATCACATAAAATACTATGCACTGTAAATTTAAAATACGAACAGTGTCTGGTATTTATCCAGGTGCGATTCAACTTTCTTACATTATCAGTCTTCTAAAATTTTTTAATAGCCATGTTATTGACATATAAATTATTATCAACGTATGATAATCCATCTTTACAACAATGATACCATTCAGAAGCCGCAGTGAGTGATAGAGAATCGATCATCGTAAACTATCACTATACATTCATAAATATTAAATGAGGCATGGCTTTCTAGAGCAAGAGATTTTCTCACTGATCGACGCTCGAAATTTTTGATTTTCTGTCAGTGTATATACAGTGGTCTAATATGTATTTCTATATTTTCATATATATGTTTAATTCAACTGAGTTTATGATGTCTATAGATAGAGGACTATGAATTACACACAGGTAATAATACAAATACAGCAGCGCTTCTTATTGTTTTTAAATAAAATCAGTTTCGAAACTTTTTGAACGCACCATGTACTATTGAAGAGCATCATGATATGTAGGTCAACATCAGTTACTAATACCAATTGATGAAGCATCTATGATTGTACATGGATTCCACTATTTTTTTTGAACGACATGCGGTATATTGTATCCACAATGATCTGAAATATTTGTACATGCATATAATTATTATTTGATAAAAAAAAAACATTTGAATCAGTATAAGAAAGAAAAAAATTGTTTGTCATAATATTTTATTACAAAAATCAAGATATTGATTAAATGAGATCCTACAACACAAGTGTTTATACAGAAAAAAGAAAATGTTTTTCAGTTCTTTTCTAGAACGAATAATGCCATCTTTTTTAGAATATTTATTCATAGAAGTATAGTTTGAAGATAAAACGTATGTTTAACATAATTTCATAAAATATTAGAAATAGATGACAGACAATAACAGATCTCTTTCTTGCTGTTATGAGTGTCTTGCAGATCCATGATTACAGAATTTTATGAAAAATGTGGAATGTACATAAGTTCATTGTTCATTCAAACTATTTCTACCAATAAAACACCAATGTATGTAACATTGCTAACAAAAAGAAATCATTCGAACGATAGACAGAATAATCTTAGTCATAGTGCATTATATATTTTCTTAAGAAAATACAATTAAAAAAATTTCTTTTATCCTTCTGAAAGAATTTCTTCTCTTTTTGTCAGTATTCTATTGATTCGCTCAGAGAAAAAAAATATCGTATTGAGTTCAATTCCGTTGCGTTTTGTATCTGCATGTCATTTTTCTGTCAACAGCAGTATATAGTAAATAGCAATAGACATTGTTGATTTTTATTACATTTATTAATTAATAGAATACTTGTTTGTGAACGATCTATGTTTCATCTCTATAAATATGCTCAAATGGAAATCACCAGTCACTTCCGCAGGCAAGAAAAGATCTTTTCAATTCATAATAATTACAAAATTAAAGATAAACAGATGAAAATGTATTCGTAGTTCTATGAAAACTTGTCATTATTTTTAATAAATCTCTCCTTGAAGACAAATCTGGCAAATAAAAACTTTTTCCATTGATAGAGTAATAAAACTATCTTTGAGTTGAGTTTTTTCTTTGGAAAGTTATAAGCCGGTTCGTACATCTCTATATATCAGAAAATTATGGTAGAATTAAAAATTCCAAAAAAACAGGTTATTATGAAAATAGGAAATAATTAAATGCGACTTGACTCACATGGAAAAGTGTTGGTATTAAATGTTAATTTTACCTTACCAAACTCGAGACTGATTTTTCGGTTGAAAGCTAGTTACTCTTGTATGTTATCTTTCATATTGTATAAATACTCCTTTTTTATACTTATTCATTAATGATTGCTTTTATGAAATTGTTTCCATTTCCTTGTCTGTATTAGAGTACTACAAGAATACAAATTTTCGCACTCGTGTCCAAATACGGATACCTGATCCATGGATTGCAGTACTCTAATTTATATAAGAATGAATGACTTTTAAAAAAGAAGGAATTCTATCTTCTTTTCTCTCCTATGGAAAAAAAAGCTATTTGTTCGATTTCTGTTGAAAAATAAATGTTCATCTATATTCTCTTGACAATGATATACTTAATACAAATATGAGAAGAAGTGCTGCGTTTTCATCGAACATATACTACATTACTAGTATGTGACGAAGACTCATATCGGTCATTGGTTGTTACTACAATAAAAAGAAATCCTTTGATGTATGTACAATTTGATATTGGTTCGGTCTACAATCTATATTCATCAGAAAGTGTTAATGTTTTAGCCTATTCATTGATATTGATAAGGAAGAATGTGAAACTTGCAGCAAACTACTAAAAAGTCCTTTTCAGTAATTGATTTTCTAAAGAGTGTTGAAATTCTCGATAATGAAAATCAAACAATTTTATAGCACTAGACATAATTATCGATGGTATTTTCTATGATCGTTAATATTTAGTTGTATTATATGGAATGTTTTGACCGATGCTCGTTGTGTAACATGCGTTTGTAATTGTTATCATATTCCGTCAGACCTATATTGATTTCAATATGGAAGCATAATTAAAATATTTTATTTACTTTTTTTTCGTATTTATTTTATTAAAAATTGTTTTTTTTTCAATTGAAAGAATTATAAACTTTCTTGTTTTTGGTGATAAGCTTCAACGGTTCAGCAACGAAACGATGTTATAATAAATATGCATTTGATTTTCTTTTGGATACATATAGATTAACAATGTCAATCTTCTTCTTTTTTAACAATCTATTATAATTATATTCATATTTATAATATTACAACAAAAACACGAGATCATCTAGCGTTTTAAAGTTAGAAAAGAATAAATTCTATGGTTTATCTCTAGTGAAGATATTCACAAAGTAAAATATATAAATTTAATCGAGTATCAAAGGAGAAGGAATCGCAAATGATAATGTATTGAAACTTGTAACATGTTTAATGCAGTTCAATTGGTGAATTCTTCTTTTTTGTACAAATTTCACGAAATGAGTTATATTAGTAGTATTGATAGATAATTTTTCTATTGATAATGTGCTTTAAACTATCAATCAATTAGCTGATCGTTTGGATGTACATATAATAAAAACGTAGTCGTTCAATCGTAGGCATATAGTGTAATCATTTACTTTGTCATAAAGTAACAACATAGGTTTCATTGTCATTATATTAATTCAAGTCAATTCAACTTTAGATGCTCATATAATAATAATGGTTAAATTTACAAAAATTGTGAGTTGATATTGTCGTTTATTGACATCTCCGATGTATTCATTATGCTTGTGCTTGTAACTATTCGTACTAATTCCTATCAAAACAATGATTCTTGTACACGTAAGAATGAAAAATAATTATTATAGTGGAAAATTACATATTCTGACGAATACAAAAGATTATTCCGTCAAAATTATGCGCCTTATTTTTTTCTATTATTTGAAAATATTCTTTTGACAAATAAATAGTTTTCTCTAGATTATATAGTGTATGCATGAGAAACGCACCATCTAATTATATGTAATGTTTCATCATAATTTATTAACTGAAGTATGTTCCGTACACATTAGGGATTACTCTTCAGTATAATGCATATTTGTTTTAGTGCAATAGAATGATTTTGTCATACTATTCGTACAGTAGTTTATGTATTTGATAACATTCATCTTCATTATGTTCCTTCTGATGTTCATTGAAGAGGGACAAACTATGCATAATTAAGTTCTGATAGAATTCATCAAAGTTTATCTGTATCAACTTATCAAACATACATGTAAGATATTGTTCGTGTCTTAGTAGGCATTACCAGTCAATCAATCACATTCTTCTTCTATTTGGACTAAGCGCTAACAATGAACATCAAATCAACAATTAATCATGTATCAACTTTTGCATCAGATCTTGACTAGTGTATTCTCATATTTTATTCGAAGACTGAAGAAGCGATTGTTGCACAAGGTGACATCTCAACTTTTGTTAGTATTATTGACTCGATAAGTTGTTTTCTATCGCAAAGGTGGCATGTAAACATTATATGCAATGGTGAAAAAAATTGAGTAAATTTTTACTTCGAACATACTTCACATTCATTGGTGTAAGTTATACACCCACATCACCAGCGCGAAGGTGATGGCGCTATGATATGGGTGTGATTAAAGTAAAAATGTTTCAAAAAGTGTTTGCAGATTATCTCAACCGTTATGTTATCTAAAGCTGACGATTGTGTGAGTCATACTTCGCTAGTTTCATACAAATTACCGCCGGTCGATGATCGATCGATGGTCTTTTGTTTCGTTGGATATAAATACCGCTTGTTATTTCTTTTTGAAACTAATTCAACACTTCTACATAACTATGAATTCTTCAAAATCTTCTTTAATTGAATATTTAAAGGCAATTGAAAGTGAAAGATTTGAAGATGCTGTAAAAGTATGTATAGTCGAACTAAAAGTCATACGAATATATATATATTATTTTTAATAATGATTTAGATATTGGATGATATCATCAAGGATATTCCTGATGCAGAAAAAGATTCATTAATAGTATGTTTGAAATTTCGTATATGTGCGTTATACAAAATTAAAAACTATACATGTAAGAAAATACTAGTAAAAAAGTTGAATATTAAGCTTAACTATTGTTTTTTTTTCTTCTAGTGATTATACTTGATTGTTTAAAATTAGAACAATTAGGTATTGATATTGATAATGATTTAGAACTATCGACTATAAAAATGTAAGTTGTTATCTTTTCATTAAATGATCTTATATTTCTTTTCCAGTGAATCTGTATTTAAATTTCAATACGAGCATACGTCGAAAGCCCTTGAACATCTTGCAATGAAATGTAAGTTTTTCAACTAATTTAATTAAGTTAAGATATGTGATAACATTATTTTTTGGTTTACTAAATATCTTTAAGCTTTTCCTCATTGAGCTTTCTTTGCTATATTTAAACTCGGCTGTTCTGAATGATTGCTATCTTTTTATGTAAGAAAGAGTTTATTATTTACTTTATTTTTCTGATCTATCTATAAATGAATGACGTCGACCTGTTTGAGCCTTCAGAATTAAAAAAAAAACCTTGTTGCTCTTTCATTTAACATTTATTCTGGGAATGACGTCTAATATGAATGATTTCTTAGTTGAAGAAAAACAAACAAAAAAAATGTACAATCGAATAAAATCTATTAAGATGCACAAGCTGTTCAAACGGTAATTTGTTTTTTGATAATTTTTTTCGTGTTTGCTGAAACTTTTCAGTATAAGTTTTACAATTTGTTTTTCTTTCTAGGAATGAATATGTAGGTCGTCAACCATCTTTCAAGAAAAAAAAATAATAACTTTATTTCACTTGTTAATGTGTTAATCCCTCCACCAGAATAAAGGCAATGACTTTCTATTATTGAAACTTACGTCAATCTTTCATCGGTGATCTTCTATTGTTCGTTAGGTTTTTTTTTTTGTTATAACTTACTTAAATTAAAAAACAAACAGCTTTATAAAACTCAGCTGATATTTAAACAGGCGTTTGTAGAAATTCATTGTAGCAAAATCGGTATTTTTAGTAAGAAAAAATATCTTCTTACTAGAATAAAGTAATTGCAATAACAAAAATCAGATTTTCCCTAAAAAAATTAAGTTTTTCGGTGCTAAAATCCTTAAAAAATTCGCTGTATTTTCAAAAACAATTGAAAATCTATGATCTTCTATTACGCCTTGTTAATTTTCTTTTGTGAGTACACTTCTAATATACGTTGTTTCTTGATTAGAATGATCTTTTTATTCTGGTGAGAGTCTTGATGTTAAAACAAGACTTGTGTTTATTGTTACCAAGTCTCCTTATTTGTATATTGGTATTTTTTTTTGTTATTAAATAATTGTGTAACTATGCATAAACTTTGGTCTATGGAATAAAAAAAAAATAATTTGTTCCACAGAATAAAATCTGTAAAAACTAGATGTTATTTTGTGTATAACGATGACTTGTAGAAACCAATTAGTCGTTTAGTCAAAATGATGATGCCAATTGAATAATATATTGTGTATAATCGAAGTTGTACTTGTGAAAAAAATCGAGCAGAATTGAATAAAAGAACTGTTGACGATTTTTTTATTGCTCAAAATTAGATAAACCAGTTAGCAGTATTGGCTAGGAATCGAATAAATCTTTATAAATAATTAAAAATTGTGTCTTACGGATGATTTTCAAATATATACTCTTCTGTATCTACATCAAAAATATATGAGACAGTTATGTTGTAAATTTCTTGAAGAAATCATTAAAAATTGATCGTCTTTCAAGTCGTTCTTTACTCATATTATGAAGACTCGAATTGAAATAATACTACTTCGAATAGAGTTTCTTTAAAAGAAGATGATAGAAGTTTTTTTAATAAAAACGAGTTTGTAACGAAATTGCAAATATTAGTGGTGTTTTCTGTATAAACTAAGTTCTAGTCCATTAAAAATCTATGATTATTCGCGATTTTTTGTAAAATATTTTATTATTTTAATTATTTTACCGTTATGTTGATAGAGAAGATGCTGATTCGATCGCTGTCGAGCTATTCTGCTATCTGACAAGTTTTGAAACTTTTCTCTAGCTTTTATATTTTGAAAATAAAATATTGATGCATTGCTTTATTATTCGAGAATACTTTGACAAAATCATATTAATTCAGCAATAAATGCTTGAACTGAAAATCAATTTTGTGATCGTTCATTCAACGTGCAAATTGACGAGTTATGATAGAGACTAGTTTTGATTTTTGTTAGTTCTAAAAATAAAATTCTTATCGAAAATTTATTTAATCTGTAGTACATCAAAATTGATTATAATTCACAGATGTTATTCTTTCTGATTATAAATTTTTATTTTCGCGAACTTAGTCTACTTTGTATGGTATTATTTAAAGAAAAGTTCATTTATTGATCCATAGGTCCACTAAGAGAATCAACAAAATCTTTCATATAAAGTTGTGATGGAGCTTTTTCACTAATATCTCTTTTGTATGTCGTTTGTGAAATATTTTTTTTCCACATTGGTAATGTAAGTGGAACAATTGCATCAGCTGGAATTCGACAACTATATTTGTAACGTCCAGGAGCAGCAGGAATTGCTGTTGCTCGAAGAGGTTGTTCATAAGAACTTCGATATTCACTATCAAGAGTATGATGAGCTCGATTACGCCAAAATGAACGTGATCGATTATAAGCCAATGGTAAAGGAAATCCTTGAGGAGCTCCTGAAAAGAAAATTTCATAGATAGTTAAGACAATAAAATTTCTTTTTTTTTTTGTTCAGCTACCGATATAATCTGTTTGATACGTTGAATTTAGTTGATTTCTTAATGCTTGTTTTGTTTCTTCCGATACAATTGGAGCAGCAACTGTTGCAGGTCGACGAATCCAGTGAGTGAATTGTGGACGAGGATGAGGTCGATTAGCTCTAGGTGTATTTGGCCGAGCAATAGATTCTCGTTGTACATCTTTTTGATGTGGATAATCTACTGTATACGATGATATACCAACTGGATCATTTAACTGATAAGGATATCCAATCAAAAACCGTTGACCACTCGGAACACCTTCGTCAATAGTTAATGATCGTTTCAAAGTAGAAAATTCTCGTTGATATGTTGTTTCATATGATCGACTTCGACCAGAACGGTAAGGTGTACCGGGTAATGATTGAATACAAGTTGCCATTCTCTTTTGCACACCTAAATTGACGAGAATAACAGCCGCCAGCAAGAATACATTATGGAATTAAAGAGTGATGCTTTTCAAATAATCATAGAAGAAGAGAATAACAGAACGCAAAAACTTCTCCCTGACGACCTATTCAATCGGACAACAATTGTCGATTGAAGAGAAAAAAAAAAGAACGTCGAACATTTGACAAACAAGAAATCAATGACAAAATGAAGTAAACTTGTGAATAGAGAAGAAAATACTTGTTTCTTAACAGCCAACAACAATATGTTCTACAAGCTAAACTAACAACTAATCAACTAGTCGAATATCAAAATTCTTTCAGAGAAAGAAAAAAGAAAAGTTAACGAAGGTATTTACAATTCTTTCTTTTTTTTTCAGTATTTATAGTTAGTCTATTTTTTTTTAAGATTTTATTAGCGTAAGAGAAAAATGAAAAAAAAATATTGCATTTGAAATTATTAACGAGAATTGCCAACACGAATTGAAAGACAGACGATGTCAATTAATGAAAAAAGAAAATAAAAAAAATTAATTAGAAATACCAACATAAACACGTCAAACATCGAAACAAAGGCATCAAAATCAAAATATTGGCTTTAAATCTTAAGAAAAAAAGAACAACAAACGAAATAGAATAATCCAAAAAAAAAGATTGGAGCATAAATTTACGTCAAGAGTGTTAGCAAATATTATAGAGATTGTTAACAAAAGTCGTCAATGAGACTGAGTACTCTTGAAAATTTTTTACCCTTTCCAAATGTTACTTCAACATGTAGAAACTTATCGTTAGAAAACATGAAATTTTTACATTCGAAATAAAATTGTTTTTGTTATTCGTTCTATTTTATTTTTCATAGCATTAATTTAATGCTTTTTAGACATTCGATATTTCGAAAATAACAAATGAAAAAACGATCGTGAACAGACAACCGCAAACATATTTTGTATGTAATATTTGACATGTTAAAATCTAAGATAATATTCTTTTAGATATTTTTTCAGATAGTCAATCAAGAAAGCTCAATTGAAGTTTCTATCAATAAATTATTAAACTTGTTATGATTAACAAAATATTGATGAATTTGCTTATGTCTATACTAAAGAAGACGTATCTTTGTTTTAAAAAGTTGAAAAAGAAAAAGAATGTTGAATAAAAGAAAACATTTTTTTTTTCTTTTATTTTATTTGTATCAAAAAGACGAGAAAAAAAATCACGATAGATTCATATTTATTTGATTACCATAGAAGACTTGCGACGACAATAGTTAACCATATCTATGGAATCATTTGTTGATATTCAAACACATTGATTATTGAAAATTAATCGAAAATCAAGTTCTCTATTTGCATAAGCATACATAAGTAACATGTCCGAATTATCTTTAAAAAGTACTAAAGTAAACTTTACTTTCAGGTATGAAAAACTGAGTCAACTCTATGAGTTCGAATTCTTGTCCTTGTTGTTTTTTGTAGATTACTTTTAACAATAGAATAAGTTTTATATATAGAAAGAATATTTATATGTAAATTAATTTTTAATCAGTCACACAAAGATTACAATAACTAATAATAATCATTATTTATTCTAATGTGTCATTACTAAAAGTGGTCATGCAAATTGAATCTTAAAATTTTATTAATATTTAATAGCAAAAGAATGTGTGTATGTGTATATGCTATTGCAAAAACATATAATAGAAATTTTCTCATAAGCTTTTAGCAATTGCCAAAAAAAAGGTGTAGATTCACTTTAGACATGGTTCATAATCCCATCCAGTGCGATGAAAACATGTTAATTACATTAATTTGTATATAGATTATGTTTTAGTGTAAATAACTGTTGTCAAACAATTTAATTCGAAAATCAGTACAAGAAAATTCTTGTTTCACACAAAAACATTTGATATCCATGTGTATAAATCCTTTCAGTTTTTATTAAGCATAGTAAAAATTGTGTTAAAGTGAGCTTTCATCAAAACTGAATGTGTTTCTTTTTTTTTTTATGTCAAATTATTGCCAA